GTGGCTGCAGTTCAGTTAAGATGCTCAGAAGATATCAAAGTTTGCATACTTTTGGTAAGCTTTAGCTGTATGTACATAGTTATTCTTGTGAATAAAACTAAAATTTATTGACTTGCTTCACAATATTTCACTAAGTAGATCTTGCCCTTTTATTGTTCTTAGTTATTTTCTCTGCTGGATTACAGGTCTTTTCATATGCTTTTATGTTGAATTCTCTGAAATCTGCGTGACAAACACACTCTTTCTTCAATCCATACAATCCATACAATTCCTTTCAAAATTAAAGAAAAATAATTCAATTTGAACCAGCTCCAAACCTACCGGAAAATAAATTCTGAAGTAATGTCTCAAAACTGAAATTATGAGATATACCGGGCTTTTGTAATGATGGTACTTAGATGAACAGGTAAATTAGATTTGTGAACCTAAACTTAGTATCCTGTTCATGAAAGCTTTTACCCATGTTCTGAAACACCAGCAATATAAATACATTGATGGGTTTGTGTTAAATATTATTCAAACTCTTTAATTAGCTTGAATGGTAATTTAAGACCCTTGTTTTACTTTGGTGTTGTGAATGAAGTGTTGGCACTTGAGGTTAGCCCAAAATATACAAGTATTCCTGTTGAACTCATTACCATGATTTGTGTGTGAATCTGGCAGATGAAATAGTTGAGTCATTGTGGCAATAATGTAATATCTGAGGCTTGCTTAAAGCCTTGCTTGCTTCAGATACACAACTCAGTGTGGCCAGTGGATATACATGTTGTAAAATTCAGTCTGACCTGTTTTAATATTCAGCCTGGTGCTGCTTGCTATGTTGTTGTCAGTGGGCACATGCATGTTGGACTGTTTTATGTAGTAGTTGCTGTCAGGCTAGAGCATTTTTATCTGTGGCCATCATCTTGTCATTACTATCCTGTCTGCTGAAATGATCTTTGTGCTGAAGTTCAGAGCTGTGGCACCAACACTGATATGTTCAGGCACAGCTGTAGTGTTCTTGCACAGAAATTGTTCGTTTGGGGAACTGATTTGACTGGAAAGGATTCCAGCAGGGAAGTCTCTTTTGTCTGGTTATGTGTGTGGTTGCAGAAACAGCTGTGTCACATGATAGCATAGCAACGAGTCTGTGGACCTGGTAACTAGGCGGACCTTCAGAAGTGTTAAAATTTTTGTTAGAGATCAACAGTAAATCAGAGCTACCAGGTATCCAAGGCATATCTGAACATAAAAAGCTAAGGCTGATGGCTGAATACCCCTCAGGAAGGATATAAGGAGGAAAAAAAACACAAACCAAAACAGTTTACGTGGTTGCCCATGTTGTAAGAGATCTGGTGATTCAGAATGGCCCTGCAACTGCTTTGTATCTAACTTGGAGTTGTATTCACACAGGTAGCAGTCTCTCCATACACAGTATATATAATTTACTATGTCCAAATTGAGACCGTAGTAGTAGCATGCAGATTCAGTTTAAAGCTGGCTTAAATTACAACCTTTTAAGAATTCTGGACTACTTGTGTATTTCTAGCAGTTTTCATTTCTTATATATAGTTGAGTTGGCTATAGTTGAGTTACTAGGTTACTTCAATAGCAGTGAAAAAGTGATACTTTTAGGTGATTTTAATTGGAGTGATTTAGTTTGTTTTTGGGGTGAACTGTGGCATACATTCAGGCACTGGGTTGATGGTTCATACCCTGAGAAAGCTGTGGTAGGTGGGTTGCGTATAGCTGTGTAGGGAATGAGTGTTCATGTGCTGTAGCAAGACATTAAGCTACAGAGCTTCTTGATAGCTGCTTTGCACATAGTCTGTACTGAGCTTGTGATCATCAGACAAGGAAAGTCAAGTGATAAGTGATTTTCTGTAATAAGGAGAGGAACTTTAGAAAGTAGCTGAATAAAGGAATTAATTGATATTATGGTCAAATGAATGTCAGGGTCAGGAAGTGACCCTTCGAACTGAAAAGCTTCACAGAACATCAGGACATGTTCAGTAAGTCCCTAGCCCTTACACCAAAATGTTGACACGCATCCCTCAGCTGAAATCAGCTTGAGCGCCATAGGCTAAAATTTAGATTTTTTGGGTAAATGGGTAGAGTTTCTGTGAGGCTAGTGATAGTTCTTTTGTATGTAAGAAAATTATTATTACTCTTTTAAGTTGGGTAATTGCTGTACTAGGCAGATCGACAATTGGGTGACTTGTTTGCAACAGGGATGTCTAGGAATAGAAGCTTTTCAGTTAAAGCCTGATTTTGCTGCAGGTGTATTCTGGTTTTCAGCTGGCTGGCCAAGAATTTTGTACTTTCATTTGAACCACTCTGTTTAAGTCATAAATGAATTTATTCCAATAAATTGTTTGCCCAATACCTGTTGGAACTGGTTGCATTTGTAACCTCTGTAGCCTTCTACAGCAGTGATTCTCCCAATTAACAAAATGTTTTCATGCACAATAGATTATTAAGGCTTCTTAGTTATTTAATTTGGCACCTTTTTGTTCTTGCAAAACACAGGGCAACTCTTACCATCTGTATTTTTTTTATTCTTTCAGATTTAGGATCTTCCTTGAGTTGTTTCCATTTCAAAGAGAAGTGTTTTCCATGAGTATAAATTGTTCATGTAACTCATCTCTTTTTCCCTTTCTCTGGAAAGTGAGTGATCTGAACATCTCATGATAAGCAAGATGCTGGTGAAGTATGTTTTTTTTGTAGTAGCTAATGGGCTTTGTTGTATTTGATTTTTTTTTCCTTTGTTGATTGAGTAGCTTTGATTTGTAAGAGTGAGAGAGTGGCAACTGGGATCATAATTTATGTGTATTTTTCCCTCTGCCCCAAGTTCACTACCGTGCATTTATCACTAGTGTTTTTTCCTGCCACACTGCTTTACAATCAGTTTGTGTTATTAGCTGCTGTGAATAAGTTTATATGATTAGGAAGCATTCATTTTGGGAGTCACTGTCTCTTTGGCTGACTTACATATGTTGATCTGTGTAATTTTATTTTGGAACCCCTGGGGTAACTTGTCTTTATTATGGTAACAACAAACAACACATGATATTTTTCTCTTTAAATAATTACAAATCCCCCAGAGAACATCTTCTCAAAATCTTTGTTACAGATAATTTCCACAGCAGTCTTCACTGAGTACAGTGTTTGAATGCCTTTTGCAAGACTTTAGTGGGATATACCTGTTTAATCACAGTTGGTCTAAAAGTATGTGAACCCTTCAAATGATTTTGGCAGTAGTCCTGTGAGACATTACCTTTTCATTGTAAAATTTGTGTTGCTCCCCTCCCCTGTGGTTTTTTTTTTTTTGATCTATTTATTCAACTGTAGTTTCTATCAGTTTATTTAGTGACATGATAGGACTGTAGTCTGAGTAATTGTTCTTGCCTGCTGCTTAAGTAATTGGTTGCAGATACTGAAATAAAAAATTGCTAACTGCCTTTAGAAATCTTAAGTGACTTCCACAAGGCCCTAGTGATTTGTTATAAAATCCTCTTGTGTTAGCACTTTGATGCAACATTTTTCCTCTGGCCCGACCTGTAGAAAGAGGGCTTAGATATGATCTTCCCTGATGTTTTCCTTACTGAACATGAGTGCAAAGAATTTCTTCTGTGTTTTCTGGTTCAGGCTTCATGGATGCTCTTTTACTTCAGGAAAATTTTACTGATTGTAAAATTGACAGGAATTGAGATTTTAGACAGTTGCTCTGACATGGGGCAGTAGCCTGTTTCTATCCAAAAGGTGTATGAAATGTATATAAAACATTCCCCCAGTATGATTCCAGCACTTTCGTTGGTCAGAGGCTTTCTGGTGGTAGTCTCTGTTAGGTTTTTGGAGTCCTTTTGGGCTGGTTGTATGCATAATATAGTGATTTTTATAAATGGCTTTCATGCTTTCAAGCTTTTTGTTCTAGCTGGTCCATTTCTTTTCCTCTCACTGAGGTTGCTCTTTCTGAAGACAGATGTTGAAGTAATGAGGTTTTTTTGTATTTTTATTTTTTTTGTTCCCCATGGAATTTAAATATGCTTTTCTGGAGTGCTGTCTGGATAATTATACCTTGAAATATGTTGCATGGCTCAGAGTTCTCTAGGTGGTTGAAGTTGGCTGTGTTATAAAATTTTTTCCCATCATTCAGTGGTGGGCTGATTTTACTTCCCCCTCCCCCTAGTTTGCACAGCAGTAGTTAAGTAGTTATGGTGAATAGTTATCTCACCATAGTGAGATAATGGGAATGAGACTACTTTGCAGTCTCATGCTCATTATCTCACCTATGGTGTCACTGCTTGAGTGGAAGTGACAGTAGAAAAGCATTAATGGGCTGTTTCTTCTGCTTGGGATGTGGAAGTTAAAAGTAGCTCAGTACCTCTTGAGGTAAATAATTTAGTTATGGTACTGTGCTTTCCTAGCAGAAAGTAATATTCTTCCGCTGAGGCAAATAAGTCCCTTTCTTTTTGTTCCTATATTTGCGTCTTAGGATACTGTCTCCTAAATTTTTTCTGTCCACGTTTGAAGATGTTTCAGTTATGCATTATTTCCAAAGTAGTCTTTCAAGTTTTTCCTTTTTGTGTTTGGGCTTGTAGCACTGGTAGGGAAACATCTGTACATGCTGGTCCTACTTTGGATGTCTGTTTCCAATGTCCTGTTTTGGTGGAACTGCAGTTTTAGCCAGATTTTAGTGACTCCTTTTGATTTTTGTGTTTTTGCTCCAAGTGTATATAACTGTGACTTGAATGTTCTGTTGCCTTCATTTCACATGTTATTAATGGCACTTGGTAAAGGCATTTAAATTCCAACTTCTGCTTTTGTTAAAGCAAAGTTGATTTTTTTTTTTTGAGGTACTCATACACTTCATCTGGGTTTCTGCAATTCATTATAACTTTAACTCTCTTATCATTCATCAGTGGAGTTGACCCTACAAGTATTACTTAGCTATCTTAAGAGCTCTAGTAGTTGTCATCATTCTAAAGAAGTACCTGCATTTTGTCTCTTATTTCTTCCAGCAGTTAAGCTTTGAACAAAGTGATGGGATCATAATTTATTTCATCGTGAGGACTTTTAATAGGTAAGTGATGTAGCTTAAATTAAGAGGGACACACAAGGCCTGGTTCAGGAAGGGCTGTTGAATATTGGTAGTTTCTGTCCAGATGTGATTTTGGTGTCTGTGTACCACCACAAAGCCTTGAGCTTGTTCTTCAGCAGTATTGAACTTGCATTTTCTGCAAACTAGGTCTCACTGTGTTGTTTTCTTGTTGTTGGTTGGTTGGGATGTTTTGTTTGAGGAGTTTGTTGGGTTTTTTTATTATTATTTGGTTTTGTTGTTGAGTTGGGCATTTGTTTTGTTAGTTGGTTGGGGTTTTTTCTGTTTCAGTTTAGTTTCCCCCCCCAGATCTCAGCAATTCATCCAGTCATCGGTCTAATCAATATCACGTATTTCTAACAATTGTATTTATATTGTAAAGCATCTTTTGCTGTTGCCAGTTTTGAGGTGTGAGTTTTTTTCTAGTTTTCCATTCTAAACATTTTTGATTTTTTTTTTTTCCTGCTAAGTCACTTTTTTGGGTAGTTTTTAATTTAGAAGTACTGTGACATTGCCTACGTGGTTTTTGTGTTTCTCCTTGCTGTTCTGACTTTTAGAAAACAAGCTATCTCATTTTGCACATTTTATGGGTAATTTTGTTGTCGAGAGGTAGGAGCTATTTGCAGGGAGCTATATACAGATTGTGCTTATGACTTTGCACTAGTAATTAAACACAAATTTTTACTTTTTTAATACTTAACAGTACAGCTCATTAAAACCTAAGAGCTTTGTGGAAAAAGTAAATAAATACAGGCAAGAAGATACGTGTTTTGAGTCTTAACTTTACTACATGTTATATGCATGTACTGCAATGCAGCCCAAGTCTGTCTTTCTGCTAAGAAGTTGTGAAAATAGGAATCATAAAGGTTTTGAGTCAGGCCTAGAATGTAGGCTTGGCATAGTCTCATTTTTTCTCTGCTCGGATCTGTTCAAATATATTTAAAACTTTATTAAAAGGTTTGTGTGCTTGTGATGCTTTTGTTCTTATAGAGAAACAAAACATATAGAATAGTTTAAAATTTAAATTATTTTCAGCAAAATCTGAGATGCAGAACACTCTTAAGTTAATCAGCTGTAGAGGAAAAAGTGAAAGAGAATATTGGATTAAATTAACCTTCAGTGTAACTGACTGATTTCCAGGGCGGTACTTGCCAACTACATTGATAATACAATTTTTTTTTTGTAAGAAACAGTCTTTCATTACAATTCGGTGTTCCCTTTATTGTGGTTCAAATGTTATTACAAAATGGCATTTGTCTGAAAGGCTAAGATAGGAAGGAACTAAAAGGTGATCACCTGCCTCTCTTCTAGGATTAATCTTGTTCACAGCTTTACTGTTTGGTCCTTGTCCTGCCCTCCCTACTCCTTCTCAGTTAATGGCAGCAGGGCTTGAATAGTGTAAATGTGTAGAAGAATATTTGAGCTTTATTCCTCTGGGCAACTTTACTGTCTGGGGGTTTTAAAGGCCGTTCTCAAACAGTAGATAACTACACAAGTTGATACTCTCTTTTAAAAATGCTGCCAGGTCTGGAAAACCTGATGACTGTTATAAAGCCTGAAGAATAAATAGATGCTTGAACTTTGAACATTTTCAGTCTCTTGTGAGTGATCACATGTGTTAATATAGGCTATGGATGCCTGAATCTGTGCTATCACTGCAGTGTATATATACAAGTTGAAAAATATTAGCAGTGTAAGGTTTATATTGCATTGTAGGCCTGATTTTATGTCCTGTAGTTTTTGTTTTATATTTTAATTTTAGCATAGTGTATTCTGCTACAGGCAGCAAGGAGGTTGACCTGATAAAAACAAAGGAAATGTAGCTGCTAAGATTTTTTTCTCAATTGCTTAGTTTACTTGAATAATTTCTTTTGTTAGTATTCTATTACAGATATACTTCTTGGTTTTAATGTTTGCTTACTCAATTGCAGTTATATATGTCTGTCTCTTACGAAACGTGGCATATTTTTCCCCACTATAAAGCCTTCTGGAAATGTGATGTGACAGAGTAGAAGATCTCAAACAGTTCTGTTGCTGCTTAATTCCCAGCAGGGATTGAATGGACTCACTATAGGATCATAGTGCTGCAAGTCAGGTTTGAACTTAAACTGTAAATTTAGAAGAAAGTCTTTTTGAGGAACATAGCTGGCAGATGATGCTTCAGGTGAGGAAATATTTTTGGGTAGCTAATGTTTGTTTTAACCCTGTTTCAGACCACAGTACTTTTGTGAAAGTCAGCAAGTTGATACAAGAGCAGTTTTCCCACAGGAAAGAAAATAAAAGTGCTTGGAGCAACTTACTAAGGTAAACAGATTGCAGTGGATTTCTGGATGGGTAAGTATAGATAAGCAGGATATTTCTACTTCTTGTATTTACTTTCCTGTACAAAGGCTTTACAAAAAAGCACAGATAGCCACTTCTAACCTTCCACACAAACTCAGTGGTGTCACAGATCAGCATATACTCCAAGACATACCCAAATTATAATTATGTGTATATTTTTCATGTAGCATTGTATCAAGATCAGTTTAACTTACTGATCTTTAGTACAGATGTTTTTAGAGCCATCTTAGGTCTTTTAGCTTTGACTATATCCAGGTTGACTTCTGTAATTTTTAATTCATGGTTAAATTGACAGTTATGAAGAACAGATTCCTCAAACTGAACAATTACTAAAAGTAAGCAGATCTCCCCAGGCAAAGTAGCTGTTGGGAAGTAGCCTGAATAAACACTGCTTGCTCTTAAAAGAAATAAGATGAAGTCAGTGAAAGTTGCAGGAGCATGAGGTAGCAAGTCAGGACTTCAAATGAGCTGCCAGTCTGTAGTGGCTACAAACGAGAGGTTGCAGTCCACTTTCTGCTGCTCAGTAGTGTATCTATCTCTGTCATGTGCAAGTGTTTCTTATGTATCTCTTCCTTACTTCTTTGTTCCAGTCATCTTGTGGCTATCTAAGGAGCTTTGGCAGTGTGGAGTTGGGGGAAGATTGGTTGAATTTCAAAACTGTTAACATTCCTAATAGGGCCAAGATTTAATAGGAATTCAGTTTTTCATTCTGTGTGCCTAACTGTTGGTCTTGCTTTGTAGTCTAGCAAAAGCAGTGCTAGAAGATAATTGCTTGCATATGTGGGGTGGGAACAGGACTGAGAGATGAGGATTGTGTAATAAATAGCGCTGAAAATTCTGTTTCCTCTGTGTAAATGTATTGATAAAACATTGTGATGTGTAGAGATTGCATATTTTTTGCTAGTATAGAATTAGAAAGTAAATGGATATTAAGACATTCAAAGAAAAGCATAGAAAAACTTAATTTTCCTTCCTGTTATCTCAGGAAAAAAATAAAATCTGGAACTATTAATTCAGTAGTTATTTTTAAGAACTGTTACTGGAAAGTAGTGTCTTACTCTGAAGTTAGATGTGTTCCTTTCTTGCTTTGTTTTTCTCAAACAGCAGATCTGGAATGGACTCGAGTCCTCTGGGAGGATTAGACTTGTCTGAAAATACTCCTAGGTTACTAGGGAATACCACCATGGCAGCGGGTCTTGCAAATGTAGGAAATACATTTGGAGGGCCACCAAGTTCTTTGGTTTCTAGACCTAATAAATTCCAAAACTCACCTATAGAAGATGATGATGATGTAGTTTTTATAGAACCTATACAACCTCCGCAAAATTCTACATCACTGGTAGCAGACCAAAGGAACGCTGCATTTACATCATCTAAAAATGAAGAACTTAAAGGAAATGATTGCAAAATGCTTCCTTCTCCAAAAGACTTACATTCTCGAAAGGGGAGTATAAGTGAAACTATTATTATTGATGATGAAGAAGACATTGAAACAAATCAAGGACAAGAGAAGAATGCTTCCAGTTTTAATGAACGAAGACTTCCAGAGTGTAAAAATAGAACCAACGAAATGGAATTCTCACCTTCCAGTTTTTCAAGAAGTAAGGTAAATTCAGGAATAGGTAATAGTGGTATAACCACAGAACCAGACTCAGAAATTCAGATTGCTAATGTTACTACATTAGAAACAGATGCTATGAGCTCTGTCGGTGTTGGTCATTTAGAAAATGATGGTGATGGGTGTGACATGAACCTAATGATTACACATGTAACGTCACTGCAGAATGCCAGCTTGGGAGATGTATCTAACGGACTGCAGTCAGATAATTTTGGTGTTAATTTGCAAACATACACCCCATCTTTGACTTCACAGACCAAGACTGGTGTAGGACCTTTCAATCCTGGTAGAATGAACGTGGCTGGAGATGTATTTCAAAATGGAGAATCTGTGACTCATCATAATCCTGGTAAGTTGCAATTTTGAAGTTTTCCTTAAAAGCTAGAAATAAATAGTGAAATAAATTTATTATGGAATTTTTGATTGAAGTATTTTTGGCAGTGACAGTGCTTAGTCTTTTAGCATAATAAGTATGAAAGATCTTGATTCCCTTCATGCCCATCACTACCTTATTTGTGACTAGAATAAAATATAGGCATAATACATTAGAAAACACGTCTTCACCAAAAGGATTATTAAGTATTGGAACAGGCAACCCAAGAAAGTGATCTCCAACCCTGGAGATACTTAAAAAGGATGTAGATGTAGCACTCAGGGACATGGTTTAGTGGAAGTGCTGGGTTAATGGTTGGATTTGATGATCTTAAACGTTTTCTTCAACCTAAATGATCCTGTGATTATATATATATATGTTTTTGAAGATTTCTTCTGGGTCAGTGATAGTCTGTTTACCTTGAGTAGGTACCCCTTCTCTATATGAAGTAGTAGATGCATAATAGAGACACTTCTGTGCTACCACTGATTTAGAGTCTGATGTCCCAGTAAGCACTGGAGTGCCTGTGATAGAATGGTTTGGATTGGAAAGGACATTTAAAGATCACTTCATGCAACCACCCTGCAGTGGCAGGGACATCTTTCACTGGATGAGGTTGCTCAAAGCCCCATCCAAACTGACCTGGAACACTCACGCATGGGGCATCCGTAGCTTCTCTGAGTACCTTCCATTGTGTCTTGCCACCTTCATTGTGAAAGAATTATACCTCATGTCCAATATAAACCTACCCTTTTTCAATGTAAAGGTACTGCCTCTTGTCTTCTTACTACAGGTCTTGTTAACAAATCGCACTGCATTTCTTTCTGTAACCCCCCTTTATATATGTTGAAAGACTGCAATATGGTCTCCCCAGCCTTCTCTTCTTCAGACAGAGCAACTTCCAACTCTTTGCTTTTCTTCACAGGAGAGGTGTTCAAGCCTTCTGTTACTTTTTGTAACCCTCTTCTTTGCTTGCTTTAACAGGCCTATTTCTATCTTGTACAGGGGACCTCAGAGCTAAATGCGGTATTACAGGTGGGGTCTCAGCAGAGCAGAGGGACAGAATCACTACAGACCAGGATACGAGTGATTTTTTTTTTGGTGTGTAGGCACAGGTTGCTGGCTCATGTCCAATTTTTCAGCTACCAGTCCCCCACAGTCCTTCTCCACAGGGCTGCCTTCAATCCATTCAGGCCCCAGTTTGCATTGATGCTGAGGATTGCCCTGACTGACCTTGTACTTGGCCTTGTTGAGCTCTGAGTTTTCCATGGGCTCATTCATCCAGGCTGTCAAGATCCCTGTGGATGGCATACTGTCGCATCTGGTTTATCAATTGCACCACCCAGCTTGGTGTTCCCAGTAAACCTGATGAGAGTCTGCTTCATCTCACTCTCTGTGTTGTTGAAAAAATACTAAATAATATCAGTCCCAGTACAGACCCTCGAGGGACACCGCTTGTTACTGGTTTCCACTTGGACATTGAGCTATGAACTGTAATTCTTGGGGTGCAGTCATCCAGCCAATTCCTTATCCAATGTCTCCAATTCAGCAACTGGAACATTGAGGGGGGACCCTATCAAAGGTCTTGGGAGTGGTCCAGGTGTAGGTGAGGTCCATGTAGACATCCTTTGGAGTGGAACTTAGGTTTTATTTCTCTCAGTGGAATCTAGTTTTGATGCTTCTGAAATGCTCCAGAGAAAGAGTCAACACATAATAAATTGAGGATGCAGTTTACAACTGCCCTGATCTGAACCAGGTTTTAATGCAACTGTATGTAGCTCAATGTGTTTCAAATCTGCATACCTGTGTAAAACTTCAATACTGTCTTCTTCCCCACCTTTGCCCCAAGTTGGACTGACACATTTTTTTCATATTTTAAAAAAATATTTAATTTTTGTAAGATGACTTTGCAAATAAATGATATAAATCACAGGAAAAGATGATTTTATAGCACTTTAGAGCAGGAATGAGTGAGAAAGAAGAGGAGCAACCTGAAAAGCCACAGCAGCAAGAAGTAGTCGAACATGACACTGTACAGTCTCATAAATATGCCCATTACAGAATTTCAAGTAGGAACCGGAAGGGTGAAGACATAAGGCAGTGAGGTATGAAAACTCACCAGGAATTAACTAAGGAAGTGTGATACACCTCAGATCAAGGACATGAAAACTAGATTTTACAGCTACATTGTAGAGGACTTTAAACAAAAGAGGTAATATTGCTGAGAAGTGAGATGTGAAGAAAAAGCTTAATATAAAAATGGGTATCTATGAAGATGGGATAAGGAAAAAGTAAAAGAAAAAAAAAGTCAAGATCCTCAGATGTTCTTGCATGTTTATGGAAGTAGATATGCAACAAAATATCGAGGGAGGCTATCTGAGGCCTTAAGAAAATAAGGAACAATTGGAATAACCTTAGAGATACTATTACCTAACTTAATTAGGTATTAGTCATGCTGAATGTTTCAAAGCGAAATGAGTAGCAAACTCAAGTTTTCATGACTGGCAGTTAAGCACTACTGGAATTACAAGCAAATGTAGCTCTGTTGTACATGCTGTACATTCTTGGTAAGAGAGGCAATGTGCTTTCACTTGATATCCAAGAGGAAAGAGGAGAATTTCAGAATATTTTGAGGTGTTAAGGTGCTACCAGGATATTAGTATATTTGAAGTAGTAGAAGTACAGAAAAGTTTGAAGAGGACACTTAATTTTAATTCTAAGCACTCTGGTAGCTTGTCTTAGTTTATCAGTAAGGGTATTCATGCCTTCAAAGGTTAACGTCTTTAATGCTTTTAAGACAAATGTTTTGTGTCCTTTTCCTTTCACCTTTTCATTCCAGCTCTTCTGTTTATTCTCAAGCACTACAACAGGTAAATTTCTAGTATGTCTTAAATGCCTGAGTAGTAGGATGTCCTTGACAGCTAAAAAGTCACACCGGAAAACGGTCTTTTACTTGCTAAGGAATGTATGTTGTTTCTTGCACTAACAAGTGTTATTGGATCTTTGTGCCTAAATGGATTTTAAAGCTATGCATCAAAATATGTTGTTAATAGAATCCTTTGGGGAAAGACAGGAATGCAGAAAATAAGAGGAAAGGGTTCCTTTTATTTCTTGAATGATTATGAGCCGAAATAATGTCTCTAACTTAAGAAAATGGTAGGGGTAGTTGCTCGTGGCTGTAGGTTAATGTTTTTGTTATCTGAAATAATAGAACTTAAAATCATCTGTCTTACATTTGGGTATTAGTTGTATTAACACTCGAGAAATACTCTGAATCACTCCAGTAAGACATTCCAGGCTAGGTAAGTCCCAAGTGCTGTCACAGTATTTGGTATAACTGGTGCACAATTGAAAATTTGTGCAAATGTTTTTTTTTATTGTAAAATCAGTTTTTTCAGTTTTAATTCATGCTAAAGAAATGTATTATTAGTGGCAGTCCTCAGAAGGTAAACATTTCTAAATTCTGATGATAATCACTTTAAATAAGAGCTCACATTCCAGAGAAAAGCCTAGAAATTACATTTTATTGGGGGATTTCTTTTCCCCAAAAAACCTATATCTTCTGCTCCATACCAAGATACAGAGAATGTAGTTTGACATACGGACTTTGTAGATGTATTTCTTTCAGGAAAAAGTTGTTTTGTTTACATTCTTCTTATGTGAGTTACTCATATAGCAGGTTATGCTACAAAATACTGGGCAAAGATGACTTTGTTTATTTTCCAAAAATACAGATAGAAAACTAGTGGAGTCTGAAACATGGGGACATGGATCTGTGTACTGCTAGAACTTAACAAAATATTATTTTCTAGGTTCATTGATTTCTACTGAGGAAGTCATATCTCTCATGACTTTGCAAGTTCACTGCTATATATATAATTCTCTGGCTGCAGGCTGAACTAGGAGCCAGTTCTAGGGTTTATCATCTAAGCTGGAGGCATTATGCTTGTTAAAGCTTTGAAACAAAATAATTAATGAAAATTTCAGATCTACCTTTGCAGACATGTCACTAGATGTTGGATGGGAGCATCCTGAAATTTGTTCATGTTCTGAAGCTTTGTAGCAATAGAGGGTGGTACCATCAAACGGATTTTTTACATTAAACCTGAAATTAAAATACCTTTCTTCTGTGGTCGCTGCCACAGAAAAATGATTTTATGATCATACATCTGTGAATACTATTCTGTACATACTTAAGTCTCTTTATTTACTTTGATGTTTGCATTTTTTGTCTTGAAGATTCTTGGATATCCCAATCAGCTTCCTTTCCTAGGAATCAGAAGCAACCAGGTGTGGATTCCTTGTCACCTGTAGCGTCCCTTCCTAAGCAAATTTTCCAGCCTTCTCCCCAGCAACAGCCTTCTAAGCAGGTTAAAGTCACATGTGCGAACTGCAAAAAGCCTTTACAAAAGGGACAGACTGCATATCAGCGGAAAGGATCAGCTCACCTTTTCTGCTCCACTACCTGCCTCTCATCATTTTCACACAAGCCCACTCCAAAGAAACTTTGCGTCATGTGCAGAAAGTGAGTTTTTTTGCTTTGTTTCATTCTAGCACCTAAATTCAGTACTATTAAGATTCTTACACGTGCATGAGAATTGTTCTATTAAGGATATAAAATTTGATTATTTAAGTTCTTTATGTAGCATTGCTTTAGTCTTTGGAAATGTTGAATTCTCTGTGTCTAACAAAATAAAACCAGCTTTTGAATTCAGAGTTTGGGATATTGTTTTATTGAAAGCCAATGCACTAAAAATAGGTGATTTGTTTTTTTTTAAAGATAAGGTGTCCAAGTTGTGCCATACTTTGTGACAAGTAGTCCTTGTCACAAAGGACTTGATATGAAGTCCTTTATGAAAAAAGTGGGCCATTTGTTTTGTAGATGAAGCTGTAAAATCGAGGCTTTAAAAGGACGACAAAGTCATACTTGCAAGAAGCTGGAAGAAACTTGGTAGTTCTTCCACTCTTGGTCAGAGGGGGATAGGAAGAGCCTTAGATTTTCCCCTTAAGTGGAGCAGCTGGCAGTTTTGTAGCTGAAGATACCTTAAGTGGGCGGTACAGAGGGAGTAACAAGCATAGCTAGAAGTGGCTTATTTTTAATTGGTGGTTTGATTTGACTTGCAGTTTTTCATTATTTGCCAGACTTGAAATTGCCAAAGAGAAGTCTTCCTTAATTGTGTTCTTACAGTGTTAAGTGTACAGACAGGCTGTACTATCTTTTACTTTCAGTGTACTTTTTTGCACTTTTTCATTTTCTCAGTCTAGTACATGATGCAGTGACACTGGTTAAAGGATAAATTTTTGCTGAACTAAAGAAGACTTGCAGTAAAGACTGCCTTTGTTGGTGTATGCTCCAGAGCATGTAGTCTTTGCCCAATCAAAGATTTAGACTAGTAAAAAAACCTTTTACATTACTGTCCAGTGTGCTGGATTAATGGCTGGTATTCAGATGCAAGCTATTGGTCGTTTTTCTCCTTGGCACTCAGTAGAAATAAGCTATAGAAGAAATTGATATCCTGTGTATTCATTCCTTGGTACCCTGAAAATCTAGAAAATGTAACATAGTTTAGCTTTTTAAAAAAAATCTGTGTAAAAGCTCAAATTCTCTGAACCCTTACTTCTACAGGGATAGTTAAAAGTAATGCTTGTTATTTCTATTGGCTTGTTAGGTGTTTATACACTATTAATTTTTTAAAGACATAATCTGGTGACTACCATATTCAGCTAGCTGCATGGTATGTAAAGATAAAGATTGATGAATCTTTTCTGACTGAAATCATGGCTAAATTTGTGCTCCTTTGCCACTTTGGAGATACTTAAGCTGTGTATTGCAAGAGGCTACATACAAAACTGTCTTAAATGAAAAGGCTTTATTTTTGAGTGATGAGGAAATTTATTTCCTCCTCCACCTTATTTCTAGATTTCGAGGTTAAAGAGAATCATTCTGAAGTCACCCTTGACAGTTTTGGAGGTGATATTAGTCTTTGCTTTCCACTGCTGTGAAATTTTTAATCAATCACTGTAAAACAAAAGATCATGTGTGCACTAAATTGTTCCTCTGTGGCGCTCTTCCTCTGTATAACCCAACATGAAAAGTTGAAATTCTTAGATATTTTACTATAAATCCCTTTTCTTGCATTCCTCTGAACTCTTCTGTAACTACATAAATAGCAAGCTCCGCGGGGCAGAAGCTCTGCCTTTGTTCTGCAGAACAGGAATGATAGCACTCCCTGACACAAATCCTAGTAGTTCTCCAAAGGGTAAGCCAAACTCTGCTGACTTCCCTTTGATGGAAGAAGGCAAGCTTGCAATTGTTGATATCGGGGCTGTACCAAGTTAATTTTCAAGGAAGTGTGTCTACGGAAATATATCTTTTCCCTGTTTTCCCAGTGGTTTTTACCCATCTTGGTTCTAAAGCTTGTAGGTATGAATGTGTGGGGTATGTGTTTTCCAACTGGTGATCCAGATGTGCCCAATAACGTATTTTATATATTCTGCCCAATAGCATTTCCTGTATGTCAGTAATAGCTTTTAGATTTTTGTGGTCTTTTTGCTTAGAAGGCAATGGAGGAGGCTTTTGTTTCTTCTCCTTACTTCTAATATATGGTGTGTATGTGAAAGTATGTGTGTATTAGTTTGGGACAGTGAAAGTCTGTTTGGTTAGAGCAAGGTTTGTTCGATTTCAAATTACTTTTATTGATGGCTGGTTTTCTGGTTTAAGGTGATAAATTGGTACAATTCCATGGACAGCTGCGTGAACTGTTCAGATGCTTTGGAACTTTTAAAAGGAATGATGGAATGAACTTTTGTAAATTTTGAATGATAGAACTTCTAGCCATGTTTGTGGTAGAGTTCTAAGCTTTTTGGTCATTTATAAGTTTGAGAAATATGAGAAAACAACTTTTCCTCTTCCTCTCATCCTGTCCTGAGATTAATACTGAAAATGGTGGAGGTATCTACAAAGACAATTTCTTGCTTTTTATTATAAATCTGAATTTTTTGTATGAAACTTATATATAGCTTTTGTGTCAAAAGAAAAGCAATTATAAAATGGCTAGTTAAAATTTGATGTGTTAGTTTTTTGAAAAAATTTGAGTTTGCCATTATAAAGTATTAATGGTGCATTAATACTTTTTAGTTCTGTCAAAGCTAAAGAAAAATATAGGGGTTTACACAGTAAAGACTTACAGTAGCTGTAAAAATATTATCAAATTTAGTATTCATCCTGTGACTAACAACTGTACACTAAGAAAACTGTTCTGAAATGTAAGCCTTGAAAGGAAGAATGATTCTTATATATATACATACATTAGCACATGATTTTTTAAACTTTTTTTTTTTTCTATTTCAGAGATATAACAACAATGAAAGGTACCATTGTTGCTCAAGTAGATTCAAGTGAGTCTTTCCAGGAGTTTTGCAGTACATCATGTTTATCCTTTTATGAAGATAAACAGAATCCCTCAAAAGGAGCCTTGAATAAATCAAGATGCACAATCTGTGGTAAACTAACTGAGGTCTGGTTGACTGTTTTTTTGTCTTTCTTAGTAATGACATATTATTACCTCATATACTGAAATAAGAAAACTGAAAAGAAGAAAATGTAAAATCTTCAGTATTTTGAGATATTAAAATATGCAGGTTTAATATTCACGAAGAACAGCTGAAGGAAGGAATTATTCCAAGAGGTTGATACTTGTTTCAGAAACCTGAAGTGCCTGTTGCTGATAATGTGTTCTATTAGGCATTGAATCTTGTAATTATATCCCAGATCTCTCACATAAAAGAGAATGAATGAAAAAATGTCAAGATCCACTGTATTACAGTATATTTTTTACTGTATGTTTTAAAAGGTAATGCAGATAGTTTTAGAGATCTGTAGAATATGTGTGATTTTAAATTCTCATGAATGTATGTATTTGTTCTTGATGCCATGTTGATTAATGAGCCCAGCATAGTTCAGGCTACTGTTCTGCACAGCATATTGTCTGACCAGTCATCATATGCCAGGTTCTTCAGCTGTAAGTTGACTGTTCTATAAAATTGCATAAATTGGCATTCTGCTCTCATATGCAATTTCCACACCCATCCATCTGGTCTTTCCTTCTAGGCTAAAGGGTAGATGAGTCTGAGAGGGTTTTACTAGTACGTTGGAGACAACAGAAACATCCCTTTCTCTTTGTATATTTCATGGTCATGGTCACTTCAAGTTTTTAAATAGTGAGATGGTTATTTGAATGTAAGAGTTCTGGCTCATCTGCTAGTTTCAGGCAACTTTGTGCTTGTGTAGTGATAGAATACTTTTTTATTTTTATTTTTTAGATTCGTCATGAAGTTAGCTTTAAAAATATGACTCATAAGCTGTGCAGTGACCATTGCTTCAATAGATACAGGATGGCAAATGGTTTGATAATGAATTGCTGTGAGCATTGTGGGGAGTATTTGCCCAGTAAAGGAGCTGGAAACAATGTCCTTACTATTGATGGTCAGCAGAAAAGATTCTGCTGTCAGAACTGCGTTGGTGAATACAAGCAGGTAATGACTTCTTTACCTATAAATTAAAGTTGAATAAGTATTAATAGTTCTTAAGTTTATCCTGGCATACATAGCATATAGTTACTTCTCCTAAGAAGACATAAGTAACAAAGACTTAGAAAAATAAAATTATTGCCAGTGAGAAGAAACTATCTGCAATGGACCTTTTACTATCTCTTTTTGATGTTGCTGTAACAGCGATACATATTAGTTCTTAATGAAAGTATAATTGAAATTAAATTTTGTTCATAATGTCTAGTTTTTTCTGTTGGTGGTATCTGAAGTATATTAATAGGAAGCACACCACACAGGCTTTACTGGTCCTTAAGTTATGGGTTTTTTTATATAAAAGCTCACTTGGATGCAGTTGAAACATTAAAAAATATGTGGAACATAACAGATTGGGCATTGCTGTGAGAAGGCTCTAAACTGGTTACAGTTCAGCTTCGTGATTGCACTATGTCTCATCTCCATTGTACAGCACAGGATTCAAAAAATTGTTACTTTCATCCTTCCATGTGTCAAATTTTATACTTTCATTTTATTTACTTGGCTTTTCATTTATTTTTAAGACTGTTAAGATAGCAGTAATTGTGCTTTAAAATTATTCCAAATCAAGAAATCTGATGCTGATGTCTTTTACATTTTGCAGAGCCAGCTTAGCTCTGAACTGTTGCTAATGCTAGCTAGAGGGTTTAAATGTTAATTCACAGTATTTATAGTATAATAGGATAGCTCTGAAGTATTAAATATTTCAGGGGAGGATACAGAATATGAGGAGTTTGTGGGTGTTATTATTTGGGTTTATTATTTGGGTTCTTTGGCCTGGTATGTTCTGCTTTGATTTTATAGGGGTAGCATTCTGACAGGCTGTTTTGCTAGAAAGAAATTTATGTTTCTGGTTTTGAAATGCACACTTGAATATGTGAGTGGCCTCAGTGCTGCACATTGCTCAGGGCTCATTCTTCATCTCTTCCAATTTTTGAGAAACCAGTGGTCCAAGAGAAGAGGCAGTGCTGTGTTGTAAAGTTCTTTAATGTTGCATCTTGTGTGCTTATATTTTCTCACTGAGAAATATAAGCACACACTGAGCTGAGGTCTGATGCTTTTGGGGATGGCTGTTCCTGTGTATGTGCTGTGTGTGAAGAGCAAAGCTGGAAATGTGTAAACAGCCTCATTCATAAGCGTTATTTTTTTGCCACAGCTGTACCAAAAGGGGCAGGATAGGTTTTCAAGCTACTAAAAACATAGGCGTGCCCAGAAGCCATGGAAAGACTTGAAGAAACATTGAATACTGTCTCTTGAAGAAACAAAAATGCAGATTAAATTTGAACATGAAACATTCCCCCACAACCAGTATAACTTACACTGCACATGGAGTTATGAAATGAACATGGAATTTGAGGTTAAATGATGAATTTGTACTCTAATGACAGAATATACTGTATTTGTTCACAAATTGTTGTATTTTGTGTTTAGATAGATATTTGAGACTGAGAAGAATATGAGTAGCAAGTTGTATGTTCTAATTTAGTTTGGGGAGGAGGAGCAGTTTGCAGTACAAAGGATCTTCACATGTAGTGTCAACTTGGTGCATTATTGTGAGAACCTTTAAAGCTGAGACACGTTGTTTTGGTTCATTTACTTCTGACAGCAGATTTTATACAAGGAAGTTCTTAATTCCTTTATCAAAATATTTGGTACTGTGCAACTATAATAGGTTGTGAGAAGCTTAATTTGAGTGCTTGTGTGCATCTGTTTTGGAATGGTGATTAAGTGTAATTCTTAACTGGTAGGTTTCAAATATTCACAGAGTGTGAAGAGTTTGGAGTATTTTTAAGAGAATCTCTTATGGTAAAATCCTCTATGACCAACCAAGTGGCTTTCTGTTACGGAGTAACTACACTAGTGGATGAGGGATGTACTACAGATGTTGTTTATCTGGAGTTTTGTAAAGCCTTTGACATGGTCCTCACAATGTTATTCTCTCCAGATTGGAAAGTGGTGGATTCAACAGGTGAACTGTTAGGTGGATTAGGAATTGGTTGGACAGTAGCATCCAGAGGGTAGCAGTCAATGATTCAGGGTCCTTGTAAACATTGGTGACAAGTGTTGTCCCTCAGGGGTCCATATTTGGATGGGTATTATTTCATATCGTCATTAAGGAGTAGACAAAGGCACCAAGTGCATCCAGAGTTTGCAAATGACACCAAGCTGAGGGTGCAGTGACACACCTGAATGACAAGATGCCATCCAGAGGGACTGGACAAGCTTGAAGTGAGTGCATGGGAATCTCAGCCATGTCAAAGGCTTCATAGAAGTCCAGATCAAGTGCAAGGTGCTGCGCCTGGGTTGGGCATCCCCCAGTGCCAACACAGGCTCAGGATGAACTGATGGAGAGCAGCACTGCTGAGAAGGACTTGGGGGTGCTGGAGGATGAGAGGCTGGCCATGAGCTGTCAGTGAGCTCTCACACCCACAGAAAGCTCAAATGTGTCCCGGGCTGCATCCACAGGTGGGCAGCAGGGCCAGGGAGGGGATTCTGCCCCTCTGCTCTGCTCAGACCCCACCTGCGGGGCTGCATCAGCTCTGGGGTCACAGTGCAGGGAGGACAGGGACCTGCTGGACTGAGTACAGTGGAGGGACACTGAGATGATCGGAGGGAGGGAGAACCTCTCCTATGAGGAAGAGCTGAGGGAGTTGGGGTTTTTCAATCTGGAAAAGAAAAGGCTTCAGGATGACCTAATGGTGAGCTTCCATAACTGAAGGGAATTTAGAGGAATGATGGAACAAGGCTATTTACAAGAGCACATAGTGATGGGACAAGGGTAACTGGGTTTAGATTTAAAGAGAGTAGGTTTAGATTAGATATTAGGGGAAAAAAATTTACTGTAAAGGGTAGTGAGGCACTGGAACAGGCTGCCCAGGGAAGCTGTGGATGCTCTATCCTTGGGAGTATTCAAGGCCAGGTTGAATGGGGCCCTGAGCAGCCTGATCCAGTGGAAGGTGTCCCTGACTGTGGCAGAGGGGATTGGAACTGGATGATCTTCCAACCCATAGAACATTCTGTGGTTCTATGAGTATACAAAAGTCAAACTGTAAAAGTGGAAGTTCTTCTAGTATATGCTATGGATGTCCAAAGTTGCTCAGGACGCAAATACTTGAGACTATTTAGAAATATTTAGTTGATATAATATTTAGATTTGAAGTTTATTTAGACTTTTTTTGAGCTGAGTATGTTCAAGGAGTTTGTTTTTTTAGAAAAGAAGTTTAAAAAAGACAGGAAAATGTCACTGACAACCCAGTGGGCCGCAATTGGTAAATTATGGGTTGTTTTGTTCAGTTGTAACAGTGTTTCCTTAGAAATTAGTATACTTTGCTTTAAAGGAAAACTGCTGAAGGAGAGATTTGGGGAGAGTCATTACTGCATACTGAAATAAACTTCATGAAAGAAATAATACAGAAAGAGTTAATGTCATTTGATTCCAGCATTGTGTTGTACAACTAATTATTGTGTATCACATAAGAGTTGTAGCAAATGTTTTCTTACAAACAGCTGTATAAAATAAATAGGTCTTACTGGTATGAACTTTGTATTAAGCAGTTTATATTGTGAATGTCATACACCTATGAATAGTGCTATACATTTGTAGTAGTAATAAATGAAAACTTCTTATTACTTGTACCTAACTATATACTTAATCACAATTAAACAAATAAATATTACACTGATTTGAACACATAATTTTTCAATAACTCATCCTGGACTTTTTTTCTTCTTTTCTTGGAATGAAAAAATTAAACTTGTGGGTAATAAAAATTAGTGTTTCACAGAAGAACAAGTAATTGGTTACAGCAGGTAATCCATCTGCTGCAATTAGCTGTGCAGTGTGTCTTTCCTCTGCTTTAGATTGTTTCTGGCAGTAAGAAACAGTGTTATTCCTGGGATGGAGAGTAGGTTTTTTCTTAGATGTCCCCTAAGTCACCTCTCAAGGTGATGGGTGCATTTATCCATCTATGGTATCTTTGTTGTTCCATTTTTTCCTAAAACTTAAAGTGATTGCACATTTTAGGTGTCTTTTAGTATTAAAATTCACAAAATGCAAATAATTTTAAAATAATTACAAAATAATAAATAAGCATAAAATAACTAATGCTCATTGTAGTTGTATGCAAGAGCAAGTGCATTTCTCTGTGACACAAAAGCCATGTGTGAAGACAGCTAAGTGCAAGTCAAGCTTTTTAAACAAAATATTAAACAATGATAAAAGCATTTCTCAAAAAAACAAGTGTGACAATCTAGATAAAATGTGAAAACAAAACTCTCAATGGAAGTATTTAAATTTTTTAAAACCTGAAGATGAAAATTACTGCTAGATTTTACACTCTGTTTCACTGAGGTTCAGACTCTTCACATGTCAAGAGGAACTTAAAGAATGACCACCCTAAACAAAATGGGAAAAACCCAGTCAAAGCACTCTAGAAGAGAATAAAATTATATCTGAAGGGGACCTGACTAAAATAGTCTGTTACTGTACAGATACTGAAATACCATATTCCTTTTAGCAAATATTTTCTATAGTTAAAGTGAAAATGTAAGCATTTAGAAAATTACTGTAAGGATTTATTTGAAAATTATCTTTGCAAAAATTGGTAGTGACCTCAAATATGTCTGCCATAAAGATGTTAACCACACACAGCACATATCTAGGTTGCTTCAGTATTTTTGTTTCTATTACCATTGCATGTTTTCTGTCTCCACAAAATTAGTTAACTTCCTTTTCAAAGTAATTCCCATGTTTGTGTCCTGGTTTGCTGGATTTTGGTACAGACTTAACAGCCTTATTTTAAGAAACAAGTGGACTGTTTCTATGACTTTGTGACTTAGCTTGTGCAACCAACCATACCTTTTTATTTTGAGCTTTCCAACTAAGCTAAAGCAGTGTCTGTCTGCTTTTAAAAATATTTTGCTTCCTTCCCTGATCAGTCCACAGTGCTGTT